TATGGAGCGAATGCAGGCTGCACAGCTAGTCCCAGAAGCCAGAACAGCAAGAGGGATTGCTGCTTTCACTGCGCAGCGATCCTCTTGCTGTTCTGGCTTCTGAGATTCAGAATATTTTTTTTCTTGTTTTCCTTCTCCAAAAACTAGGTGTGTCTTGTGGTCTGGTGCGTCTTATAGAGCAAAAAATACGGTACTTTATTCAGTGCGCAACCTGGGCCTGTTTGGCTGAACACAAAGCTGATATTCTGGCTGGAATCGAAGAAAGACACACACGTAGCTCTTCGTCAACAGCTCTCAGTCTCTCTCTGTATTTAGTTTTTATAGCAATCATGCTTGAAAAGCTCATCTCACACAGATATGTAGTGGAAAATGGGAGCAATGTCAAAATAGCTTTGTTTGCCAGAACGGGGAACTCCTTGGCAGTATCCAACCAAAAACTGTCCAAAGGTAGATCAGCAAATCTTAGCTTGAAACCACGATTTTGTCTCAGTTCAGTGAGTTCCTCCTGCTCCTGTAAAGTCATGTCCTTTCCACCAACTGATGCTGAGCTATAAGGGTCCCTAACCCAGTCAAGGCATTCAGTGGAGACTGAAGAGAAATAAAATGACAACTTCTCCGGTCCTCCTGGTGACTCGAGTCGCGACGTCTTCTCTCCGCTGCTGCGCACACTGTGCTCGGGCGGGAAGGAAGTCGGAAGACGATGTCCTACTGTGATAGATCCAGGCTGGAGTCTGGACCAATCACAGCCCGGACATCAGAAAAGTGGAGGGTGTCCCCCTGAGGAGCGCCAATCGGCGCCCCTGCTGGCCAAGGGTGGAGTCAAAAACCCCACCCACCCCATTCCCAGGACGCAGTCCGGCGCCTGCCTAGTGGGTGAAAATTTGAATTATTTTTTTTAAAAAAATCTTTCGAATTTTTTAATTTTTCCCACGGCACACCAGGCAACATCTCGCGGCACACTAGTGTGCCGCGGAACAGTGGTTGAAAAACACTGGATTAGACCCTAGGGACTGTATCAGCACCAATGTGGCATAATTGGTCAATCACTTTGTGACAGCAAATTGTGCCATCTTTCTTTGAGCTTGGCATGTGATAAACACCTGATTTCCTATCTGGGCCAGAAGAGGCATAAACGAGAATGAAAAAGCAAGCCCATGTTCTCAGGTCTGGGCATTCTACCCTAAGAAATGCAAAGTGTGAATGGGGAGGAGGGTCCATGTCTTTCTTAGTCAAGACTTTGGGGCACCACTCAATGCTCTGCCACCATCTGACTGCAAATTAATATGTAAAGCAAAGCATAGGAGTCAACTCCTAGGGGCTGAGGCCCCTTCAGCCCCCCCCCCCCCAGGAAATATTTGAGAGGACCTCCTCCCCCCCCAAAAAAAGTTAATGGGCATTGTCATTCGAATGGTGTGCATGCGCAGTGTTTTGTGATCAATATGTGGGGCAGGGCTTATCTGCCCCCCAATATTTTATTCAAGTTGGCATCCCTAAAGCAAATAGTGGGATTTCAGGGTGTCCAGTGTAACTTAGAAAGTAGAAGTAGACCGTACCACATCAAGCTGCGGCTTAGGGATACAAATTTGAAGGCTTCCACATTTGAAAACAAAGCAAAAACTTGCTAGAGGGAAAGAATAGTTCCTTTCTGTGCTAGTTTCTACAAACATTTCTGCAAGCAGAAATGTTACCTTTAAGAAATGAGAATGTTAAAAGAAGCCCCTGCCTGCATTCTGATGTTACCCTCACATTCTAGTATTCCATTCCCATTTCATTCTGCTGCACGCATGGACCAGGTCTGAGGCTGTGTTGCTTCCTCATATGTGGAAGGAAAGGAAAAATAAAACTGAAGACCCCCTTCTGACAGAAACAGTTAATATTTCATAACATGATTGAAGCATCCATACAGACCTTTTCTACATAGGCCATCTTGTTTGAAGGTTGCATCCAAACAATTATACTGGTTTTTTTTAAAAGGTTAAAAAATGATGAAGTCATTAAAATTTTAAAAGTTACAAATTATCCTGTGAAGCTTCACTGGCTAGAAATTAGCCTTTGCTATAGCTTTCTGCTAACAATCTATAGATCATTTTATTATTCATGAATTTTAGTAATTTTCAGGACACCATAGGTCATATTGTGCTCATTTATTTGCTAAACACCTTGCTCTAGTATTCCTTTGTTGAAAAATTGCTACTATTTACTTCCTGAGAGACAAGCGAGCAACAAAGTGGCAGCATTTGGCCCCACACATCCTGCATCCAAGGCAGCATATACATCTTGCTGTCAGTGAAATAAATGAGCCTTTAAATTGGCTGCAAAGCTTTAAGAACTCAAATTTCTGCGTCTAGTTATCAAACAGAAAAGTTCAGAATGCCTGCCAATAGAAGACGTAATTGTGACAAACGGTAACATTTTACCTTTAACTTTTCACTCTCAGCACTACAACTCCATTAGAAGAAACCTCTAACAAGTGTCCTTCATGGATTCATGCATGTGTGTATATATATATAAGTACACAAGGACAAAAGCCTTAGTTTTATGTTGATATATTTCTGTTAGGGGAGATGGAGGAAGAGTTTGCTTAAAATTGTTTTATACATGGAACCCAGCCATTCTGACCCAACTGAGCGTTGGATCAATTAGACGGCCTCTTTTCCCAAGGGCCTGCTTAGGTCCAAGACTATCATGCATTGCCATATTGCCATTGTTTTGAATGAAAGAGCCCCATGCTGTATTATGTTTCTGCAGCATAAGTGTTTTTATATAGTTATCAACATTGTTGCAGGGGTCTGTTTATATGTTGTTTGCTTTAGGAAACCTGTAGTGGATATGCATATAATGGCCATATGTATATGTATAATGATGCATGTAATATGTGAAAAACGTTTGTAGGTTTAACAGAACCAGGAGGAAAATAATTTGCTTCCCATTGACATCAAGGAGAAGGATGGCCCAGTATACCTGACGGAGCATCTTCACCCCCTTCATTCAGCCCAGACACGGAGGTCCTCTTCTGAGGGTCTTTTGCTGGTTCCCCCACTGAGAGAAGCGAAGTTATAGGGGAACCATGCAGAGGGCCTTCTTGGTAGTGGCACCCTCCTTTCAGATGTCAAGAAAATAATCAACTATCTGGCTTTTAGAAGACATCTAAAGGCAGCCCTGTTTAGGGAAATTTTTATGTTTGATGTTTTATCGTGTTTTTACTATTCTGCTGGGAGCTGCCCAGAGTGGCTGGGGAATAAATAATACATTTATTATTATTATTATTATTATTATTATTATTATTATTACTGAAATCCATGTGGACAAGCTTGACATCAAGACTTTTAGGGGGGAAATCTATCCCTTGTAGTGAGTGGTTAAGCTTTGAATCAGGAAACTTCTTTATCATGTGTGCGCTAAGGGGGAAATTCTCCCCCCACTGCAGAAATTTGGAGACTGCATTGCATTATACCAATCTCAGTTAGAATACTTCACATGACCAATATTGTCTTCTAAAAACTGTTGCAAGAAGGGAGGAGAGACAAAACCAGTAATAAAACCAAGACTTGATGTAGGTTGTCCATTACCCCCCTCCCCACTCTAAAATAGCTGCTTATTTCTTCACAATTACTGATAAAAGTTCCATTCTCTTAATAACATGCATATTGGATTTGCAGGCTCTCACATTAAGTGTTTTGTGTAATGTAAATGTAGTTGGAAAGCAGTTAACAGAAGTAATAACTATAAAACAGAATGAAATAAAAAGAATAATGCCCAAGCAGCCATCCTCACTTCGTCTTCTGAAACTCTCATCCTTAGTGGGGCTGCAAATATGTGCAAACTAAATCATTTCGGTTGCCAAAAGATGGGGCTATTTTGTGCTCCATTGCTATGGCCAGCATTAGTGCAGCCGACGTTGCATATTCCCTTGCTATGTGTCTGCATCATATAGGGTGGTCCAAAGTTTAGGGTGTGATGCACAATTCTTTTCTAACTATTTGGGCTATTATTGTCATTGGTTGCCACCCTTTGCAGTTTCTTGCACCCATACAAAGCACTGACATGCATTATTATCAGATAATGGAGGCATATAATTTGGATAAGAAAATTGGCTTCCAGGTGGAAAAATCAAAATTAGAAACAGAACTGTTAGAACCCAAAACTAAGATTTTGTCAAAGATGTATAACTTGCTGTTGAAATGGAATACTCAGGATGAAATGGTGAAATCTGCTATGATTAAATGGGCACAAGACGTTGGACATAACATAATGATGGCTGACTGGGAACAGTTATGGACCACAGGTATGAAGTTTACAGCATGCAATGCCTTAAGAGAGAATATTATGAAAATGATATACAGGTGGTACATGACCCCAGTCAAGCTTGCAAAAATTTATCATTTGCCCGATAATAAATGTTGGAAATGTAAAGAAACTGAAGGTACATTCTTTCACCTTTGGTGGACGTGCCCAAGGATTAAGGCTTAAGGATTAAGGCTTTCTGGGAAATGATCTATAACGAAATGAAAAAGGTATTTAAATATACCTTTCTGAAGAAACCAGAGGCCTTTCTCCTGGGCATTGTAGGCCAATTGGTGCCAAAGAAGGACAGAACTTTTTTTATGTATGCCACAACAGCAGCAAGGATACTCATTGCAAAGTATTGGAAGACACAAGATCTACCCACTCTGGAAGAATGGCAGATGAAGGTGATGGACTATATGGAACTGGCAGAAATGACTGGCAGAATCCGAGACCAGGGAGAAGAGTCGGTGGAAGAAGATTGGAAGAAATTTAAAGACTATTTACAGAAATATTGTAAAATTAATGAATGTTAGAATGATGTTGGATAGAAAGTAAGTGGTTTCTAGCTGTAATACGATAAGGGAATATGAAAAATGGATTATTAACAGGTAAAAATTTAACATTACAATATTTTAAGATTTAAGATTTGGATAAACAAAGAGGGGAAGGATTTGCTGAACCAACAAACCGAACTGGAATACAAAAAAGGGGAGACTTCCGGAGGCGGCGCCAACAAGCAATGGCGATCTCCTCGTAAGCTCGGAGGAGAGACTCCACGAAAACCGGGTCGATCCGCTACGGCGCAGCGGAGACCCTTTTGAAACCCGCAGGCGGAGGAAGCCTGCGGTCGTGGGACTCGGCGGGTGCCTGGAGCGCGCCCCTAAACGGCAAAGGAACCCCGCGAGGGGCTCCGAAGCAGGACGGGGGTGGCGCGGCACTGTGAGTCTTCTGCTACTTTCGCGGAGTGAAGCCGTGCGGCTGTTGCTGGAGAGCGCTGACCTTTCTTCCTTGACAATTCGGCTGTCAAACTACAACCCGTGAGTAGGTTTGACGTTTTAGAAGGACCAACAAAATTTTTGAACTAATTTGGCTGAAGCGGGAAGGTGTAAAAAGGAAGTCCACCTCCCGGCTTGTATAAAGTAGTAAAGCAAAGACTGTGTGAGTTCGATACCAAAGACTGTCAAAAGAGACTGAATCACAGACGTCAAATTTAAAAACCTTCCCTCCCATAATTGGAGAAGGGGGGGAAGAAGAGATAGTATTTCTTGTTATTTCTGGTTATTTTTCTGTAACTAAAGAAGAGTAATAAGGAAACCAAGACCACCTCTCAATCCCTGGAGACAGACTGCCAGGTCTGGAAAGATTGGATACTTTGTTAGCACTCTAAATGGACAATGTATCTTCTTGCCTATTAACTTCACAATATTGAAACTTTGGGGAAAAAAGTTGCCTCTTTGGCTGAAGGGGTTTAAACAAAAAAGAAAAAGGAAAAAAAAAGAAAAATAATAATAAGTTTTTGAGAGTTTTTGATACTTTATTACTTGTGTCCCCCTGGAGGCCAAAGGGGAAAAAGTCTTCAATTGACTGAGGAATTTTCCACCCAACAGCAGCCTGGGAAAGCTTAACAGCAAAACAACTCCAGCTGTGAGAGTGACCTTGATTTCTAGATAAAGTGCTATGGAGGAAAGAAACTTGAGGTCCGGGAAAGGCAGGCAGCAGAGCAACATTGCTCAACAGCAACAACGTAGGCCATCCATTCCTGGGCCACAAGGAGAGGAAGAAGGACTTGCTAGTCTATTTAAAATTGTGAATGAAGGTTTTGAAAAACTGGGCCAACAGAATGCCGAGGCACTAGAAGCTATTAGACAAAACTCAGCAAGTATTGATAAGCTGACTCGACAGACTAATGAAAATACAGATGTGATTAAAAAATTACTGGAACAATCTGCTGAAACTCAAAAAACAGCTTTGGAAGCTAGAGAAAAGGCGGTAGCTGCTGAAGAAAAATTACCACCTTTAATTAAACAAGTTGAAGAGCACCATACAAGATTGGGAACGCACCAGGAATTGCTATCTGTCCTTGAGCTAAAGGAGAAACAGACCAATTTAAGGATCAGAGCAGTACCTGAGATTGAGAAAGAGAGCCTGGTAGACTTTTTGACACAAGAATTTGCCAAATTTTGGCAATTGAATGAAAAGGAAGACTTCAAGATAACGTCTGCTTTCAGGCTTGGAAGAGGAGCAAGAAAGAACAGAGTGAGAGACTGCCTGATTACCCTGCGATCTAAGGAGGAACGAGATCAAATTTTGAGTTTACACTACCGAAATACACTGATAATACAAGACTCAAGGATAGAAATATTTAAAGACATTCCAAAGCTCCTTTTGGAGCTTAGGTCCAACTACCGGGACCTGGTGACGCTGCTGAGAGGAAACAGAATTTTTTTTCAGGTGGGAATTTCCTCAAGGTCTATCTTTCAGTTTTAAAGGCAAGAAAATTAAAATAAAATCTGTGGAGGAGAAACAGAACTTTTTGAGAGACCATCAAGAGGACCTACAAAAAGGATTGGGGAAGGAGCCAAAAGCCCCTTTACCAGGATTGGATCTTACACTACCACCGTTGGGAGAGGATAAGACAGAGAAGGTGAAACCACCAACAGAGGAAGAAGAGTTATTGGGAGCAGTTGGAGGAAAATAAAGAAACCATCATGGCTCTGCAACTTTTAACTTGGAATGTTTGTGGTCTAAATTCTCTGGTAATAAGGAGGAAAGTATTTCATATACTTAAAAAAGAACAACTGGACTTAATCTGCCTACAGGAAACTCATGTGACGAGGCTCCATAGGAAAATACTGATTAATAAGAGATTGGGTCAAGAATTTATTTCATCAGATAAAGTTAAAAAACGAGGAGTGGTCATTTATGCAAAGGAGAGCCTCTCACCAAAATTCGTTTTTAAGGATGAACAAGGAAGATTTATAGCAATTGAAATTCAAGCACAAGGAGAAAAATTTTTGATAGTAGGCTTATATGCTCCAAATGAGGGGAAATCTATATTTTACAAAAAGTTGCATGAGATCTTGATGGACTATATGGACTATAACACTGTTTTCATGGGAGATATGAATGGGGTGGTTTCCACAAATATGGACAAGTCACAAAGAGAGGTAGTCACTAAAGACGGTAGACTACCGAAAACATTTTTTGAATTAACTGACAATATGGACTTGATTGACATTTGGAGAACTAGGAATCCCCTTGATAGAGAAGGAACCTTTTTTTCTGAAGCCCAAAAGACATGGACAAGAATTGACCAAATCTGGACTACTAGAGGACTGGCACCTAAGGTTAGGAAGGTAGAGATCTGTCCAAAAACATGCTCCGACCATAACGCCGTGAGAATGGAGATGAAGTTAACATCTACTGGTTCCTTCCGATGGAGGATGAATGACACCTTGTTTAGAGATCAAGAGGTGATTAAGAAGGCCCAAAAGACATTGAGAGACTATTTTGAGATAAACTTGAATACAGCTGTAGAAAAAAGAATAATCTGGGATGCAAGTAAAGCTGTTATGAGGGGCTTCCTGATTCAACAGAATTCATTTAAGAAGAGGGCCCAAAATGTAAAGAAAGAAAAATTCTGGAAAAATAAAGGAGGGCGAGAAGAAACTGAGAGTGAAGCCCAATTCACAAGAGATTCTGAGGGAAATAAAATTGCACCAAGTGCAGTATATGAAATTGATAAATCAAGAAGTGGAATGGAAAATTAAACAAATGAGACAAAAGACTTTTGAATCGGCAAATAAATGTGGGAAACTGCTGGCTTGGCAGTTGAAGAAACGACAAAAACTTAATACTATTACTAATTTGGAAGTGGAAGGGAAAAATATCCAGAATCCAGAAGAAATTAGGAAATGCTTCCAGAGATATTTTAAACAATTATACACACAAGGGCCTCAGAAAGAATTTGAAATAGAGCAATTTCTGAAAACCAATGGATTACAAAAATCTCTCAGGATAACAAGATATTGCTGAATTATAAAATTACAGAACAGGAGGTTGAAGGTGCCATTCAGAATATGCAGTTGGGAAAATCTCCAGGACCGGACGGTTTAACCTCAAAATATTACAGAACTTTGAAAGACTGGCTAATTCGACCATTAACTGAGGTTTGTAATGAAATTTTAGAGGGGAAAAGAGCGCCAGAGTCGTGGAAAGACGCATTTATTACACTTATACCAAAGTCTGAGACTGAAAAGACACAGCTTAAGAACTATCGGCCCATATCCCTGTTAAATGTGGATTACAAAATTTTTGCTGATATTTTAGCAAAAAGGCTTAAAAAAGTGCTAAAAGGAGTGATTCATAAGGACCAAGCTGGCTTTCTTCCAGATAGACATCTTTCTGACAATACAAGGAATATAATTGATATTCTGGAGAAGCTGCAAGAGGAGATTAATACTAAAGCAGTTTTGATTTTTGTGGACGCAGAGAAAGCCTTTGATAATATTTCTTGGAGCTTTATGAAGAAAAATCTCCAGGGGATGGGGGTAGGCCAAGAGTTTGAAAATGGTATAAATGCAATTTATTCAGAACAAAAGCTAAATTAATAGTTAATAATGTGATAACAGAGGAAATTAAGATAGAGAAAGGGACACGACAAGGCTGCCCAATTTCCCCATTGCTTTTTATTTCTGTCCTGGAGGTTTTGTTAAATATGATAAGAAGGGACCATTTGATTAAGGGTATAACGGTCGGAGCGAAACAATACAAACTGAAAGCATTTGCAGATGACCTTGTATTGACATTACAGGAGCCAGAATCTAGTACGAAAAGAGCATTAGAACTGATTCAAGAGTTTGGTCAGGTGGCAGGTTTTAAGCTGAATAAGTTTAAAACTAAAGTACTTGAGAAGAATTTAACACCGATTGAAAAAGAGAGGTTTCAGAATGAGACAGGTTTAACAGTGGTAAAAAAAGTGAAATACTTGGGGATTCATATGACAGCTAAAAATGGGAATTTATTTAAAGACAATTATGAAAAGTGTTGGTCGGACATTAAAAGGATTTAGAAATATGGACAAATTTGAAGCTTTCCTTGTTAGGTCGAATTGCTGTCATCAAGATGAATGTATTGCCAAGAATGCTGTTTTTGTTTCAATCGATACAAATAATAGACAAAATGGATTGTTTTAAGAAGTGGCAGAGAGATATCTCTAAGTTTGTCTGGCAGGGCAAGAGGCCCAGGATAAAATTTAAAATATTGACTGATGCTAAAGAAAGAGGGGGATTTGCCCTGCCAGACCTTAAACTTTATTATGAATCAGCAGCTTTCTGCTGGTTGAAGGATTGGTTACTTCTGGAAAATACTGATGTTTTGGACTTAGAAGGTTTCAATAATGTGTTTGGGTGGCATGCATATTTGTGGTATGACAAGGTTAAAGCTCACAAAATATTTAAAAACCATATTGTCAGGAAAGCATTGTTCAATGTCTGGATAAGATATAAAGACTTATTGGAGAATAAAACCCCAAGGTGGCTATCACCAATGGAGGCAAAGGCCCTGAAAAAGTCCAATATGGAGGCCAAGTGGCCAAAATATTGGGAGATCTTGGAACAAGAAGGAGATAAATTCAAATTGCAGAGTTTTGAAAAACTAAAAGATAGAGTGCGAGACTGGTTGCATTATTACCAAATAAGAGAGGTCTATAATTTGGATAGAAAAATTGGCTTCCAGGTGGAAAAATCAAAGTTGGAAACAGAACTGTTAGATCCCAAAACTAAAACACTTTCAAGAATGTATAACTTGCTGCTAAAATGGAATACTCAGGATGAAACGGTAAAATCTGCTATGATTAAATGGGCACAGGATGTTGGACATAACATCATGTTTGCTGACTGGGAATGGTTATGGACCACAGGTACGAAGTTTACAGCATGTAATGCTTTAAAAGAGAATATAATGAAAATGGTGTACAGGTGGTACATGACCCCAGTCAAGCTTGCAAAAATCTACCATTTGCCCGATAATAAATGTTGGAAATGTAAAGAAACTGAAGGTACATTCTTTCACCTTTGGTGGACGTGCCCAAAGATTAAGGCCTTCTGGGAAAGGATATATAATGAGTTGAAAAAGGTATTTAAGTATACCTTCTTAAAGAAACCAGAGGCCTTTCTCCTGGGCATTGTTGGCCAATTGGTGCCAAAGAAAGATAGAACTTTCTTTATGTATGCAACAGCAGCAGCAAGGATACTTATCGCAAAGTATTGGAAGACACAAGACTTACCCACTCTGGAAGAATGGCAGATGAAGGTAATCGATTATATGGAATTGGCGGAAATGACTGGCAGAATCCGTGACCAGGGAGAAGAGTCGGTGGAAGAAGATTGGAAGAAATTTAAAGACTATTTACAGAAATACTATAAAATTAATGAATGTTAAATTGAGGTCTGATTGAAAATAATTGGTATTGGCAAAAACCTCGCGTTTAAGAGCATGGAATATTTGATTGATAAGGTTGTAAAAATATCTATATATAAATAGATTAAGTTTCTTGAGTTAAGATAAAGGAAGGAGGGTAAGGATTTGCTGAAAGGAGTTTTTAAAAGGAAATACAAGTGGGGAGGTGCGGGGAAGTCAAAGAACCAAGGAAAGATAAGAAGGTTAAATGAAAGTATAAATTTTTAAATTTTTGTGTTTCTTTTCTTTTTCTTTTGTTTTTCTTTTATGGTTACTGTTATTTTTGTTTTCCTTTTGTCACTGTTATTGTTGTTTTTTGTCTTTGAAATCCTGTATTTTTGTATGTTTTGGAATGTTTGTAAAACCAATAAATATTACATTAAAAAAAAAAATGGAATACAAAAAAGGGAGGCGTGAGGAGGTCCGGGAAACAAGCTAATGAAAGATAAGTAATGGAAAGATTGAATTGTTTTTAACTATTTTTATCTTGTATTTTTTCTTTTTTTCCCTTCTTTTTTCATTTTGTAATACTGTGAAAACCTTAATAAATATCTTATAAAAAAATACAAGCACTGACA